ACATTTAGCTTTTAGCTAGCCTCCTGCTATATTCAATTTTTAGGAACTGTTTTGTTACTTTTAGCTGTTAAGACCTGAAATATTACATTTAGCTTTTAGCTAGCCTCCTGATATATTCAATTTTTAGGAACTGTTTTGTTACTTTTAGCTGTTAAGACCTGAAATATTACATTTAGCTTTTAGCTAGCCTCCTGCTATATTCAATTTTTAGGAACGGTTTTGTTACTTTTAGCTGTTAAGACCTGAACTATTACATTTAGCTTTTAGCTAGCCTCCTGATATATTCAATTTTTAGGAACTGTTTTGTTACTTTTAGCTGTTAGGACCTGAAATATTACATTTAGCTTTTAGCTAGCCTCCTGCTATATTCAGCTTTTAGGAACTGTTTTGTTACTTTTAGCCTTTGTTAATCAAATGTTGCTTTCAGCTTGCTTTTTATTATTGCTAGCTTTTAGTTAGCCATTTGCAACTTTTAGCATTAAATAACTACTTTACTATGTTTAGCTTTTAGCAAGCTGCTTACTAACATTTAGCTTTCAGGAAATGTTCTGTAAACCTTTAGCTAGCCATCTGCTATATTTAGCTTTTAGCAACAGTTTTGCCACTTTTGTTACTTTTAGCTAGCCTTTTATTAAATTCAGACTTTAGGAACAGTTCTGTAACATTTAGCTAACAAAATGCAGCTTGCTTTTTCTAGTTAGCCATTGCAAAAATTAACATTTAATTACATTTTATTTAACTTTTAGCTAGTCTTTTGCTAATTTTAGCTAGCTTCCTGCTATTTTTTTTTAGTTAGCCTTGTGCTACATTTAGCATTTTGGAACTGTTACTTTTTAGCTTCTAACTACCCTTTTGATTCTTTAAGCAATTTTTTTCCTTTTTTTTCAGATTCTTTTGCAAATTAAACGTTAAACTAGTCTTTTTTTATATACTTTTAGCTAACATTTTTCTACTTTTAGCTAGTGTTTTGCTTCTCATACCTTCACAAACAGTTTCAGTTGAAAACCGAAAGGAACTGAAAAAAGCCAAACACAAAATCCTTTAGCCGATTATCACGATTTCAGCTACATATCAACTAAAACCGGTCGGACTTGTGAGAAAAATAGAACAGTTTGTGATTTTCAGACGGACTGATGCGGTTCTGGGAGTCCAAAGAAGGAAACAGAAGCAGGATGTGGTCTAACCAACAGAGAACCAGTGGCGAGCACTGGTCGTAATCTCGTGGACTCTGTCCCAGCAGAACCGAGCCCAGTATCGACAACAGGACGAGACGTTCATGAGAAACAAACGGCGCACGACGACAAAGTTTATCTTTGGAGGAGCTCCAGCAGCAGCGGGCGGAAGAAGACGCTAACTGAAAAAAACCGTTTGTTTTTTCTCCTCCTGTTGATGGAACCGATCCGGACCGCTCTCTTACCTTTGTACGGCAGCGAGCTGCCGGTTCGAATCCTCACGGTTCCGCTAATGGACTCCCCCGGACCGTAGACCACCTTGTTGTTGGTAAAAGTGATGTCAAATTCCTGCAGCTTCCCCATGACTCCCGCTCCGAGTGTCACCCAGAGCACGAGCCGCGGCTCTCGCTCACCTGCTGCTGCCGCCGCGAAGCCCCGCCCAACAACACCGGTGACGTCACCGCAACCCGGAAACGTAATTGATTGCAGAGAAACATCCCCTAATCTTTTAAATAAACTTTGTGGATACTTTGTGCTATTTTAGCTTATTCGTATTTCTAAACGTTCAGCTCATTCTCATGATGGGAACTATCACTTACGCTAATGATAATAACATTATACATTTGATTTTTAGGGCACTTTTAGCTACTTTTATCTTTTAATAAATTTAGCTACATGTTTGATACTTTCTTCTTTTAGGCAGCATTCTACTACTTTTAGCTTTAGGCTAGGTTTTTACTGATTTGAGCAAATTATTTACTAACTTTAGCTAAGTGTTGCTGCTTTTATCAACATAAGATTGAAGGTCAAGGCCGAGACCTTGACCTCTCTAAGTGGCTTTAAGAATCTGTTGGAGTCCTGGCGGCGACCAATGCAGACATGTTCCTGTTTGTGGTTTTCTACGTTCGCCTTGTAATCTGGCTGCTTTTGTTACTTTTTTTGCCATTTTATTTGTATTTATCTTTTAATCTGTATGCCTTTTTATAACTGTCTATTCTTTTCGTTGTTATCCATTGTTGTCGTCATTCTTTGATGAAATCAGGTCTCTCTGGTAAATGAGTCCTCGGGGTTCAATGGGATTAACCTGTAGAAATAAAGGCTGAATGAATGGAATTTTTTTTGCTTATGTTAGCTTTTAGCTAGCCTTTTGCTACCTTTAGGTACCCCTTTTCTACTTTTAGCTGCTTCTAATAACTTTTTTGCGATAAGCTATTTAACTAGACTTGTTTACACCTTTAGTTGTATAGCAACTTTTAGCTTGCATATTGTTAGTTTTAAGGTATTTGTTAGCCTTTTACTGTCTTTAGCTACATTTCTACCCATTTTAACAAGCATTTAGCCATTCTTTGCTTTTAGCTAGCCTTTTTAGTTTCTTGCTACCATTAACTGCTTTTGCCTATACCAGCTAGACTTTTGCAGCTTTTAGCTAGAGTTGTGCTAGTTTAGCTAGCATTTTAGCTACTTTTAGGTTCGAACATCCACTTGGCTGTTTTTAGCTTTTCTTTAGCCGCTTTTAGCTGATATTTCTCTCAATTTCCCTAACATTTTTCTACTTTTAGTTTGTAGCTAGTGTTTTGCTTGACTTTTAGCTAGAGTTCTATTTGTTTTAGTTGTATAAGCTCAATTTTAGCTTCAGCCGAGTTCAGCAGATGTTCAGTGCTCACATTTCTCTCGTCAGTCATGACTCTGAGTTTATTGCTATCGGCCAAAAACAGCAAAATTAACCTCCTTCCTGATTTCTGCTTTGTCATCTGATCCGGCCTAATCGTTCTGATGCGTTTCCATGACGACAGACAACACTGTTGCCAAGTGACTGCCTGTATCCATGGAGATCTGGTCTCTAGTGGCACCCGAGCTGCTTCAAAGCATCACTCTGCGTATTTATCTTTCATAAAGTTTCCTCCTCAAACCGCAGGGGTCACGGTGATGCCGCGAGGCTGTCAGGAACTGTTCATCATCCTGAGCAGTGCCAGACTGGATTACCTCATTCATTCATCCATTCAACCATTCGTCATCTTCAAACAGCTGACTCAGCATCTCTAAGTGGTTTAGGGCATCTTGAACCACATCATCCCTCATATAAACTTAAGATGATTCTAATAAAAAGCTTGGGTTTTTTTAGGCTGCAGAAACACAAGTGCTGACTCAACACCTCTATCTAGTGTCCAACTGAAGAAAGTGTCTACATCGTGCACGAATAAGATAAAGCAGTGAAAAGTGCAAAAAACCATTTTATTTTATTGAGAGCATGCAGTCATCGGATAAAGATAAAGCCAAGATGGAAAGTGTGAAGTTTAGTCTCGCTGCTTGCACAGGATTTGAAAGTAAAATATCAGACAGGTAAGATTTAACGCAGTGCCAGGGTGGAAAATCATCAGCAATGACCTTAGGCAACACCGATCTGCGAATGGTTAAGTATTATTTTCAAATTACTCCAAGGACAAATTTTCAACAAAGAGAAAAATCATTCATGAGTGGAAAACATTTGAGACAGCTGTCACTTGTCTCAAGAGTTGCAAATTCACCCCGAAGGTCAGACTGTGCAATGCTCAGAGATATTAGTTCCATTTAAATCTCTTCAGGCTTCAGCTAACAGGTCCAAGATCACGACAGGACGCGTTTCCTGTCTATCAACTTCCTGTTATCAGCTTCCTGTCTTTCAGGTGAACTTCCACTTCCTGTTTTCAGCTTCTTGTGTTGATGTTACATTCAGGGTGCGTTTAAATCCAAAACGTTCGTCACAAACTTTCCTCACACACATTCAAGCAGACAATGTTGTTTTTTTCAGGTCAAGTTGACCTGAGCAGAACATCAAACCCAACTTTAGATTTACTTTACTATCAACAATGAAGCACGGTGGTGGAGGGTTGGTGTAATGGGCTTGTCTTAAATCAACGTCGACAGCCGACACAACAGCTGTTTATTGTATTGAAATGACGCAGAACATTCATTTTGTCTTTATTTTCTTTCAAAGAAGAGACATAACTTTTATTTTGTAACTCAGAAATATAAACAAAGGAACAAACAAACATTTATTTACAAGTTTGACGAAGCTGCATCACTGTTAACTATCATCCTTCGTTTTTTTTTATTTCCAAACAACATATTTTTTCTTTTCATATGGATGAACATAGCAGCACCTCTCGATCAACTCTGATCCGGTAAACTCACAAAGAAAATCTTTTTACGTCGCTTTAATGCTACAATATTGAACAAACAGGATCCAGACTGAAAAAAACGACTTGTTCAACAAAAAATAAGACTTGAAGAGACACAACATCTAGTTTTGTTGTTGCTCTTTTTTTATTTCTTTGCTGCCGTTTTATAATTAAATTAATTGTTAATCCACCTTTTGCTCATTTTGTTGACGTTCCGAGACATTTTGTAGCTACTGTTGTTCATCTGGCATTTCTTGTTATTGTATATTTTGTGTGTGTTAATTTTCTGCTCTTTTGACTCCATTTATTCCTGGTTTGCATCTTTTCACATATATAATCCGTCTTTACTGTTCATTTTTAACGTCTTAGAGCAAATTTTACTCATATTTTATTAAACTGAGACATATTTATGATTAAATTGCAGGTCTTGTGATTATTTTCTTCTAGATTTTGATTAGCCAATACATTATTGTTTAATTTCTTGTTAACTATTTGTCGTAGTAATGGTAATGTTTGGAACATTTTATTTCTTGTGACATGTATCGCCTCTTGATTCTTCCATTTTTTTAAATTCATTTAGTGCCGTGTGGTAAAATAACTCGTCAATAAGAACCGTTATCCATCATTTTGAGATTTTAAAAGGATCTCTGACTACTTGCACATATTGGCCTTAATATGTCGTTATTTCTCAATTCTACTAAAAGTTAAGTGTGACATGTGAAAACTCCTATAAATTTATAAATGTTTATTACATTTTTCACCTAAGGACGTCACCGTTATTTTACCAGCGCAATGCATTCTGGGACAAAGATTACGCCTGTTGTAGTGGAGAACACAAGAAGTCAAGGCTAAAAAAATTATAACATAAATGTCGCATTAGTCCTTGTGTACAATATATGAATTAAAACAATCAAATATGATCAACTTGTATATTTTTTATATGTTTAATTTGTTAGCTCTGGAGTTAACGCCACATATATTAGCTCCAAAGCTAAAACCATTAGCTTTGAAGCTAACACCATTAGCTCTGGAGCTAATGCCATATAGCAACATAATACCTATGTAGCTAATAAAATACATGCATTAGCTCTGGTGCTAATATATATTGGCTCTGGCGCTAAGGTCACATATATTAGCTCCAGAGCTAACACCATTAGCTCTGGAGCTAATGCTATATAAGCTACATAATACCAATGTAGCTAATGCCATACATGCATTAGGTATGGAGCTAACATCATATACATATTAATATTTCTGTAGCTAACGTCATACATGCATTAGTTCTGGAGCTTATGCTATTAAGTCTAGAGCTAACATCATATATATTTGCTCTGGACCTACCATCATATTAGCGCCAGAGCTAACACTATTAGCTTGGGAGCTACTACCATTAGCTCTGTAGCTAACGTCAGTGTTACCCCCACCATTGTCCAAGGAGGGTGCACCGCCCCGTCAACAGAAAGGAGCACCCTGCCTACCAAACTGCCACCATTACATCATTTACCCAGAATGCATTGCAGCGTAAATCAATGGGGACATTTGTGTGTCACTGATTTTTTTAAATTATAAAAATTTACCAGCCTATAGTATTTTTAAGGTATCGTTTTATAGCTGAAGTAATTGTTTATCAAATAAGGTCTATTTTTCCAATTAGTCGAAGATCCTGGTTGAATGATTTGAATGAGGTTGAATGAATCCTTATAAAGAAGTAAAAATGAACTGTTCAAGCCGTCTGCGACTCCGCCAGGTGAACTCTCACTTTTTACAGCTGGCTTCCTCCTCTTCCGAGTCAAGCAGGCATGTTTGTGCGATGGCCTTCGTCACGGTGTACGGGTCACAGTTGGCGGCGGGGCGGCGGTCCTCGAAGTAACCCTTCCCATCCTTGCCCACTTGCCGGGGGATGCGAATGCTGGCGCCTCGGTTCGCCACGCCGGCGGAGAAGTCATAGACGCTGGAGGTTTCATGCAGGCCTGTTAGGCGCCTCACGTTGTCCTCACCTCCGTGCGGGTCGTACACGCGAAGGTGCTCTTGGTGTTTCTTGCTCAGTTTCTCGATGGCTTGCTCGATGTGCCTGTCGGAAGACAAAATACAGTCAGCTGCATTTTCTCCAACATTCTCATTAAGAGCAACAAGAAACGGGGGGCTTCAAGATCCATAGAAATGCTAAAGGTGTTGCCAGTGGCTTATTAGGATCACCATGGTAACCACACATTTATGTCTCTCACTCCCTGACAAAAGTCATTCTAAGACTGAACAATGCAGATGAGAAAGTAAGCCTCAAACAACCAGCCACTGCGCAAAAACTACTGGTCGTAGTGGTAAAATAATCTGATTTGTACGTAGCTGAAACATGTGGTCATCACACGAGTAATTTTTGATTTGTCTATAAAGTTTTACGTCAGCGAAAAGACCCATTAACTTCTAGTTTTTAGAGAAAGTTCTGACTCAGATATACTGTGTTTCTATAAGGCTCACTGTTGATTTTTGAGAAAATTAAAATGATTTTAAGTGCACCTTATAGTCCAAAAAATACGGTAGTAGAGGTCAACGGGAGTTTGAGTGGTGGTACTCCACACTCCAGGTGGTTTCCAAAGAGAACCCTAAGTCCTATAGCAGTGAGAGACACATTGGATGAAAGAAGACAAAAACGTCTTCATTTTGTATAATTTAATTTAAGACGTTAACAGGGATAGGAGGAGCTTGTTTGCCAAACATTTTGGAACATTTGGACAGCTTAAAGCCCCGAGTTGGTCAATCTGTAGTAAAATCTTCAGAAATCATAAAACTTAAAATGCATTTTTGTGAAAAATGGTACAAAAATGTCAACTTGGTCAAGTAAAGTCTGACCTTCTGTGACCCATTTATCTAAGCTCCAAAGATGGCCGACTGTCCTCGTTTTGTTTGACCAAAATTCCATTATTTATACGGAAATGTTTCACAGATTGTCGCTAATTTAGTGCAGGCCTATCCCTTATGCTGTACTTCTGTGGATTCTTCTGAAGAAGATTGTTAAAGCTAAAACTGGCAGAGCTCTAGCTAAAAGCTAAAAGGAGCAAAACCCTGGAGCAGAATGTCAAAGTAGCAAAATATCAGCTAAATGTATCCAAAAGTAAGCTAATAGCTAAAAGTAGCATAACATGAGCTAAAAAAAAGCAAAAAAAAATGTAATTGATTAATTAAATAAATTTAAGAAGCCCCCATGTGTTTCCATGGAGAAAATATTTTAAATAAAGTGAAATATTTTAAAAACTACAAACTACTAAGGGCTAAAATAACAGTGGTTAGATTGCAAATAAACATTTGGGGAAAATATGAGGAAAACAGTCCCATGAATACCGAGTCAGTATTTGTAGCATCTTAATTAGATGGACTGAAGGATTGTGGGTATTTAAACATGAAAACTAAACTAACTATGAGCTATTTCGAATTACAAATGTATTTGTTTTGTTTTATTTCGGGGACTTTTGTGTATATTTTATAGGAAATATGACAACAAAGTATGAAATAAGCCCATAGGAAAGTAAAAAGTGTACTTTATTGTTTTAAAACGAGTTCCCTTAAGGAATCTTTACTCACTGCAGTCCTCCTTCCTCCCTCATCTCCTTGGTGCTGACATTTGTGTGGCAACCAGCACCGTTCCAGTTGCCCTTTATTGGTTTGGGGTCCAGAGTTGCAACGATCCCAAAGTCTTCACAAACACGATGCAACAGGAAGCGTGCGACCCAAAGGTGGTCGCCCATCTCGATGCCCTCACAGGGACCCACCTGGAACTCCCACTGAAGCCAGAAGAGACCGACGTTAACGTGGGAGAAGAAACAAAAAAACAGTAAAAGAGTTTGTTTTCACCGCGCGGCATCAAAACTACCTGAGACGGCATGACTTCTGCGTTGGTGCCGTAGATTTTAACGCCAGCGTAGAGGCAGGCCTTGTAATGGCACTCCACTATGTCCCGTCCATACGCATGGTCTGCTCCCACCCCGCAGTAATATGGACCTTAATGTAGGGGGAGAAACAACAAATTCAATTTTAAAAAGGGCCTGAGAACTGTTGACAAATGTGCAGAAAAATGATTTTCTTAGGAGAGACAGTCAGTAAACTATGATTTGTCATTGATCTGACCTTCAGGAAGGCTTCGAGGCTTTAAACGCCACCATCATGTTAATAATTTACAGAGAAAAATGGTCGTGGTGGCTATTAATCGCCAAGGATATGATGTAGCTTCACACCAGCATTGACAATTATATTTATCTAAGTGAAATCAAACATTCCCATGAGTTTTTACTTCACTTAAAGCGAAGACTCATGGGAATCTAGGAGATAATCCAGATCTTTTGAAGCATATGAGGCTCGTCAGCATTTCTGCCGTTACTACTGCAAGTCCCATAGCAACAAGGCTTGTTGAATGCCATCTTTTTGCTAGGTTTTATGGCGCACAAACCACAACTACAGCACTAATTCTTTTGTACTCGAAGCTTCGCTTGTCTGAGATTCAGGTACTTGCTTGCGTCTTACATTGCAAAGCTATTTTTAGAAACTGGGACCAGCGCTATTCAGTTATAATTCTACAAACGCAGGCTGAAACATCTATCTATGATGCAGGACATAACCGCTGCACAGAACCCCACTTCATTTTCCTAACTTTTTGTCAATGGCTAGCTTGCTACAATGCTAATGCTAGCGTTAAATAAACATAAGCAGGCGGAGATTTGATTTAAGATGCACTATTTTCATTTTTGTCTTCCAGTGGTGAGCACAGTTCCGCTAATCCGCTAACAGCTAATAGCGGAACTAATTTTTCATTTAGCAGATTAGCGTTTTTGCTTACTGCGAAAATCGTTAGCCAAATTAGCTTCCGCTAAATTAGTTTTCGCTAACTTTAAGTCTGCTACAAAATTCGTAATCTTGTTTCCGTCTGTTGTGGGCGTGTCTCGAAGAGTTCGATAGGCACGCTATTGGCTATCTACGTGTACACGTGACAAGACGTGATTGGTCGACGCTGCTTCAACCGGAAGGAGACGAAGACGTGATGCTGACTGAGTGACAGTCATCGTAGCGGTTTGCGGTTTAGCGTTAGCTTCCGCTGATTTTTTTAATACCTGTTTAGCGGTGCAGCATTAGCGAAGCTAATTATTTAGTTAGCAGAATGGGTTAATGAAGCTAACTTTTGGTTAGCTGCCCACCACTGATGGACTGCATGGAAAGGAGATAAGTCTGACACGTGATTCACCTTGCGGAGCTGGGAACCCGTTCGTGGGCCAGCTGAAAGGATGTCCATCTATTCCTAGGAGCGTGTACTCTTGCTCCATCCCGAACCACATGCAGTGCTCTTTGACCTTCTCCATGACGGTGTTGCAGCCATTCCGATGGTTCGTTTCTGGAAAAGCGGAAACAAAACCCATCAGAGTTCATTTTCCTGACCTCACTGAACAACAGCCCAGCAGAGAGGAGCGTACCAGCAGGTAGGCGGTTGTATTTGAGAACCTCGCAGAGGACAAGTTTGTTCGGGTCCAGGGTGAACGGGTCCCTGAACATGCAGACTGGAACCAGGTACATGTCGCTGTTGGAGCCTTCGGCCTGGTAGGTGCTCGATCCATCGAAGTTCCACTCGGGGATATCTGATGACGCAGAAAATAAGCAGTCACCTCAAAACAGACTTGAATTTGAAAGACTTTCCTCCACCGAAACTTAATAAAAATCTTATTATTGTTGAGACAAATCTCCAGAGCCTTGGATATATTTGTTTATTCAGGAAGGGAATAAATTCAGAGCAATGGGCGCGGACTTCCTGTCAGAAAAATGCTCTGGCACGTAATTAGCTTTTGTGCTTTGTCAAGGTGAAGCACAAGCTGTCGGTCCACGAGTTCCTCAGGTGATTAGTGGCTGGTTTAGCAGCATTTTGATTGAGTCAAACTAATTTTCGGACTATAAGGCACTTAAAATCCTTAAATGTTCTCAAAAATCGACAGAGAGCCTTATAATCCGGTGCACCTTATGTATTAATTCTGGTTGTGCTTCTGACCTCAAACAGATTTTATGTGGTACAACTGAACAATGCTGAGAGTTACTGGGAACGAGTTAATATAGTTTGACTTATCTGACTGTTTTGTTTCGCTTAATGCGCCTTATAATCTGGTGCACCTTATAGTCCGAAAAATACGGTAATCAAAAACAAACATGCATTTACAGTTTAGTTTGATCAGACCTACTAGTTGCAGCCATTTTGTGTTTACTTTTGAATTGTTTCATGCTATTTTTCAAACCCAATAACCCCCATACCATGATGGTCCCCCCCCCACAGAGAAGCACGGTGGTGAGAGCATCATGGTATGGGGATGTTTTTCATCAGCGAGGACTGAGAAACTGGTCAGAGTGGTAAGAAGGTTTGATAAACAAAATATAGAGAAATTCTTGGGGGAAACTTTACAGAAATTAGAGACTGAGACTTTTCCCACGCAGCAATGGGGTGTCCAAAGTGTGGCCCACGGGCCATTTGCGGCCACCGGCCACCTGTTGTGTGGCCCGTGACTGCAAATTATTTAAAGACATTAACGTAGACAAACCCTTTTTTCAAATTTTAGGGCAAAGTTTTTTAGATTTAACTGAAAACCTGATGAAAAAAATCGTTATTAAATGTGTAAAATTAAGAACGACACAACTTTTTAATATTTTATTGATAAAAAGTACGTCAAACCTTTGTTGCATTTTACCAAAAAGTTGACTTTTAGAGATTCAATGTCCAATCCCCTTTTTTTAGCAACTTTCTTTTAATAAAATAAACTAAAATGTATTTTCCAAGCACAAGGAAACAACAGACACAAGTCAAAGAAACGGAGTGATTTTCGTTCATGGCGGTAAATATTCGTGATTTAGAACTGTTTTTTCCATCTTTCACTAAAACGTCATGCCATTTTAAAATGAACCAACAAACCAAATAAATAATCTTTTATATGTTTTTCATTCAAAAATTCTAATTTTTGCAATCTGCGAGCACTTTCATCTTGATTTTAGCCCGGACATTAAAAGGTTCGGACATTCTTGTGTGTGTAGAAGTTAATCAGTTGTACATCCAGTGAGTGACTACCGTCTGCGCCGATTGGTTTCTGATACATTTTATTAACAGACAAACCAAAAATCAAGCAATAAACCATTGATCTCCTCGTTTAAATCGTCATATTTATCGAACTTAAGTGTAAAAACCTCGCCGTGTGTCCAGGTCTAACCCTAAAACGATCGTCTTTACGAGCACACAGACAGAAACAGGATTATTTCGTTACCATCTATGCTCCGCGGCACCGTGTCCAGAGTCCTGGTCTTGTTGCGGAGCCCCTCTCCGGTGCCGTCGATCCAGATGTAGGTGGCCTGGCACTTCTCGCCCTGAGGCAGGCTCATGTACTGCTGCCGCACGGCCTTGTTGAGGCGCGAGCTGACCGATAAGGACGCCATGTTGTCCTGCGAGCTCCAGAAACTCGGACAGCCGGTCTGCATCAACAGCGAACAGGTTTACAGTCCTGCTCTTTGTTTAGACAACATTTATATTCCTGCGTTTAAAGCAGATTGTGTTTCTGTATATGAAACTCAAAGCTACACAGAATTACCGAGACCATTAGTTATAATAAATACTTGTAACTGTTACAACTGGGTACTTATATTTAGATAAAACACGCCTAAAGTACTTTGTCCGTTTTTAATAAATACTCCGAACAGATCTGACGAACTAAAGTTTCAAGAAGTCAAATGTTTCGTGTCTTAAAGTTGATTTTTAAACTTCGATTTGACTCGTTCAAACAAAGCGAAGCTGCTTTAAACAACAAAGATCTAGTCCTCAAAGTGTGTGATAGGGATGAGTCTCAGCTACTACCACACCAGATGTTAGGCCCATAGTAAAAACGACCAGGCCGCCTCTGAAACTGGACTGAATCTAATCAGCGGTAAATGTTCCTAAACGTTTCATCTTCCAAGAGACTAAATAAAGCTGGGCCAGTCAACTGGTGGCCCGGGGGCCAAATCAGGCCCACGGGTGAACTCAGTTCGGCCCAAGAACGGGTTAATTTTTAAATAAAACTAGATTTTAAATCATAAAACAAACTTACTTAATGACAATAACTGTGGACCCCTGTGCAGTTTAGCTGAATAGCCCTGAAATAGACAAATAAAGACAAACTGGACTATAAAGACATTAAATGTGAATATTTAGTTACAGTAGAGGACTTACAGGAAGACAGGTGACCTCAGGCAGGTGCCGTCCAACTGGAGGAGCGACAAGTCGGAACTGGTTTGCTGTATTTAAGCGTGTCGGTGACGTCATGCGACTCGAGGAGTGGTTGTCGGCGTTTGTTTCCACTACACACGTCGAGCGGTTAACTTGGAACAGACGTGGAAAACAAAGTCTCCTTGACTCGGGGTCTCCACTTCAGAGCAGAACACTTCACTCCTCGCTCTCATGTTTTAAAGAGAAAATAAAACTGACTAAGGATTTTAGTCGAACCGGCGCACAGATTAGACACCCCCACCCCCCCACGAGAGACATAATGAACCCGAGATGTTCTGCTGACTGATGGCTGCTCGCTGAGCTGAGATTTTCAGCTCGTTGAACTCGATTCAACAACCCTGACAGAAAACGTGCTCGGCCACGCGGGAGCCTGCGAGGCAGTAAACAAGGCGACCAAAGGACGAAATTATTGCGCCGGTCGGAATAAAATACACGAGAGTTTTACAGGAAAACCAGATCTGTTTTTAAAATACTAAGGGTCTGTTAGCAAAACATCTTGCCACACGACTGTTTTAACAGCAGGGGCGTCTACAAGATGTTTTCATAAAGGGTGGCCAGATGGGGGCCACTGATAATGTTAGGGTGGCACCAAAAAAATGTAAGCGGCATGAAATTACTGGAATATAGAAGTTAAGGAATCTTCTTCTAGAAAACCTGCTTTGTGTCCAGACACTGAGAAGGATTTTTTTTCTTTCAGGCTAACAGGTTAGGTATACGCAAAATCAACACAAGGTCAACAATGTAATGAAATGCTTAGGACGAGAAGAACTGTCTCGACTCACTCCCCAAAAATAAGGTAAAAAGGGGGGTCCAGCAAGTTTAAACAGTTTTCCATTGCCCCCCTTCCTTCCCCCTTGGTAGCGCACCTGTTTAACAGTTTTTTCTTCTCCTCTGGCTCTCGCTCCCCCCGTTCTCCTTCCTCCTGCTTTGCTCTTTGTGTGCGTTGGAGCTCCTGGTATACAACTGCAGAACGAAAAAATACTATTATGGATCTGGTGAGCTGGACTTTCAACACAATCGACAAAATATTTTCAACAAAACGACACGGTCCTGGAGAGCCCTCTTGTCTGGCTGAGACTCACGCTGTGGGGTACATCAGAGATCCATGGGGAGTTTGGTAGCTGATGTGCCTCTCAGTTCTGTCTCAGGAGGACGCTGAAGACGTTTATATATTTGGATTTATGATAGCAGGGGTTCTGCAGTTTTGGTCATGGTAAAGCTTCAGAGTCTGTGTGAAGGTTTGGTTTGTGCTACGAGTCCTCAAAATCAGCTGATTTATGAGCTAAACCGTAAGATGGAGATGATTTGTGAGAATTGCAGGCCACCGGCGGCTTCTAGGACTCGCCTGCATGTTAGGATTGACCTTGAAGAAGGCTCATAACATGGATCAGTGGAGTGAAATACCCATAAATCTGACAATTTTGGACCGGAACGTTCCAGCAGGACTCAAGGCTGACGAGGGGAAAAACAGTCTGCCTGAAGAAAATCAACAATTGTGGCAGATTCAGATCTGACTTCCCAATTTGGCCTCGGATACAAGCAGACTATCAAATTTCTCCTGGGACATGGGTAACTAGGGACAAAGACACGATTTGAAGAGATGTTTTTTGTAATACCACTATCCATCCGTATGGCTCTTATCTTTTTCTATCTAAAATATTCTGATAAAGAATAAGGGGCCGCGCTCTTGTAACAGCAGCTACGTGCACTAGGGCCATCTTTCGGACCACTGTACGAACATAATCTCACTGTATCTCGGTACAATGAAAATAAAACTTCTTCTGGTTCTGAAATCGGAAACGGGGGGGCCTCCAGAAAGTTTTCAAAGGAGCAGCCAGATGGGGACTGCTGGAAATTTCCTTGTGGCAACTCAAAACCAAAATTTGCAGCTTTATAAGATTTTAACATTTACTGATACAAGTTAATCGGTAAATAATGGAATTTGATTTATTCAACTGAAAAGTCAGAGTCACTACTCAACCTGCCCCGTCTGTTAAAATAATGGAAGGAGTGCTGGACCTTTGGTTTGTCGCCACGATTTGGCTCCAGGCCGTGTTTGTGATTGTTTGTCACAATCTTCACTTCACGTAAATGAGAAACAATTGAAATGAAAGTAACCAGCCTTGAAAGTGTGGGAGGGAATGCAAATCGTTAAACTTGAAAAGCTTGTTGTTAAGGTGTGTTCCTAAACTCACGGGGCGCTGGGCCGGATGACGCACGGTGACAGCCGGCAGGCAGGTCCGACATCATCAGACGTCAGAAGAACCTGTGGTTGGAGCTAAAATGAAAGCAGGTGGAAACCCTCTAAAATGCTCAGCGTAAGAGCTTCAGTGTATGTAACCACCACTCGTTGCTTGACCAAACCAATTTAAGATGGCTGCCACAGCCAATAGAAATGGCTATAATTTGGCCCGTTTTACAGGTATTGAGATGGAATTTGGTGTGGTAGTAGCTGAGAGTCATCACAACACATGACCCAAGGGTTCCTCATGGAACGAGACGTTTGGGACTCAGATGTCATGACCACCATCCTGGATTAAATAAATAAAAACTGCGTCCACCTTTTTTCGCCGTCAGGCTTTCCTCACGATGCGGCTGCTCTTCCTCAGGTCTCTCGCCGCTTTGTTGCTGCTCAACGACTGGTCGTTTGCCCTCCACGCCCCCTGACGAGCACTGAGGTGGGAGAGGATTAACAGGAAGTGACAACATTACTGATTCAGGAGAAGGAAACTACCGACCCTAACCACATTCATCCAGCTCAGAGCTAAAGGAAAACACTGTGAGGATGAAGTGGTCGGGTAAATATGAAATTATCAATATTAAATAAACCATCAAACGTTGTGATTTCAGCTTGTTGAAAGTTGTTGTTGGAGTTGATAAAATTCATCTAAACTGGTTGGTTTCCTGGCACGGCCTTTGTAAAGAAGCTTTAACTGATCAGAAACCAGTTCTGATGATTCATCCAATCAGAAACTCAATCTTTGACCTCCTCCCACCACTCATGCTCCATACTGGAACCCCTCAGGGACGTGTGCTGAGCCCTCTGCTGTACTCACTGTACCCTCATGACTGGGCGTCCCCCATCAGACAGCAGTACTAAACTATACCAGCCCCCACCTAAGGACAATGTCTCTGAAGCTCCTTCGATCCAGCTGACAGGAGCCACCCTTGGAAATGTTGACCACTTTCCATATCTTGGGACTCATCTCACTTTAAACGTAGACATCGTCAGTGAGATCCAGTACAGACTTCATTGTGCTGGAGTGACCTTCGGACGTGAGAGCACAAGCCTTCAGGAACTGAGATCTCATGAATAAATTTAAAATGCTGGTCTACGATGCTGTAGTGATTCTCTCATTTCTGCAGTTCTGAACCGTGGACCACCTACCGCGGACATCTTGGAATGTTCCCATCAGCGTTGCCTCTGAAGCCATCTCATCGTCCGTGGGGAGGAATATGGAACTGACATCAGTGTCCTTAGCAACGCCAAAACGACCAGTACTGAATCCACTGTCATCAAAAACCAACTTGGCGTGGGCTGGACCTTGTCCTAAAGTCCAACAGTCGCCTTCCCAAACAGATCTTCTGTTCCCAATGACAAGTGGAAAGAACAAGAAGTCCAAAGAATGTTTCAAAGACACCTTGAAGCAGAAACTCAAGTCACGCTGTATCGGCTGGACCAACTGGGAAGAGCGGGTCACGGATCGACCAAACTGAAAGACGTCCGTTGATCAGGAAATCGATTACCTCAAGAAACAAACACCTGGAAGGGAAACGAAGGCAGCGAAAACAACATGCAGCCATTCCTGATCAACCAAGAAGTCCAACGAACTCCACCTGTGCAGACTGCGGACACGTCCATGCATCCAGACCAGGACTCCTCAGTCACAGAAGGATCCACAATCAAAGGGAGACGGTCGTCCTCGTCACTGATGGACAGCTTGACTGTGTGTCTTCATCAGACACAACATCTTGATCCAGTTAGCTGACGATACAGCCGGTGTGGGACCAACCACCCAGAGCACACTAGAGAACACCTACCTGGAGAGCTGGTGCCAGGAGACAGCCTCCTGCATTTCAGGAGAACACAGCAAAGTGACATCGTCCACTCTGGATCAGCAGGTTTTAAGTGGACCACTTCACATACCTTGGTGTGGTCATTGCACAGGATCAGTCCTGGTCCAAGTAAACAGAACCGTTAAGAAGGCCAGACGGAGTCTCTTCCATCTCAGACGCCTTGGAGACTGCAGCCATCTGTGAGCAGCACCACCTGGAAGCGCAGCTGCACCTGAGAGAACTCCAAGGCTATCAAGAGGCTGGTCCACCACCAGAACGTCTCTCTCTGACCTGTAGGACATTAAACAAGGCTGAAAAGATCCTGAAACAGGTTCTGCTGCCTGAGGACGAACACAGAGAGGACGAGGAGGGTTCCCCGTCCTAACATAACTCATTTCACTGCAGATTCTACCCCGGACAAATGAGATGATCTCATCTCAGCTCATGTGACCATAAAACTTCTTCCAGAACGTATTTGACCTGTCCGTCAAGCTCGAAGCTGTCTCAGTCACACTGGACAGGGACACCGGTGTTCTAGGTGTGGACAGGGACACCGGTGTTCCAGGTGTGGACAGGGACACCGGTGTTCCAGGTGTGGACAGGGACACCGGTGTTCCAGGTGTGGACAGGGACACTGGTGTTCCAGGTGTGGACAGGGACACTGGTGTTCCAGGTGTGGACAGGGACACTGGTGTTGCAGCAGCTTTCAGTTTGTGACATGAATGTTGGAGGATCCAGTGAGTGAAATCATGACGAAGCTAAAAGGTCTTGTAAAGTTAAAAGTCGACCTTCATGACACTTTCTGTTCATTTCGACCCAAAACAGAAGAAAACGACAAAAAAACATAAATTTCCACGTGGACTTCAGATCTCGTGACACCCGAACAGCTGAAGGGACTTCAGTTTTGTTCACGTCTTGAGCGGACCCGAACAAAAACCCCGCGTGGCAGATTCGCGCGCACGTTTTCACGCACCTGGAGCGCAGCAGCTGGGGTCCGGCGGCGCGTCTGTGGGGCTTGGCGCTGCGCTTCCGGTAGTCCATCAAAGCGCACACCAGCTCGTGCGCGATCATCACGTAGAGCAGGAAGATGAGCACGGCGGGGTCCATTCAGACCGGACCGGGTGATGATGATGATGGTCAGGCGGCTGTTGGTTCCTCCACCCGTGACACCATCCTCTTCATCAGGATGAAGACCCCCCTCCTCCTTCAGCGCTGAGGGTCGCGCGCTGCCACACTGGCAGTGGAGGATGTTGCCTTAGAGACGCGACCGTTGCTAAGGGCGGGATGTCGTCATCTCCTCTAACAAGGATCAGATCAGAGGGGAGCGCACCGCGCGGATGTCCTCATGACTTATTTTATTTTTTATCTCTAAACGCAGATTTAACAGACAGGCTAATCAGTTTTTAGAAAAACAGATTCTAATTTGTATTAATTCCACCCACTTCACCACCGTGCAGACATTTAGAGAATGCAAATCGCCCGCCACCTTCACCTTTTTAGGCTAAAACCATCTGATGTTAAACAATAACAAGATTAAATCGATTTTTTTTTTTGTTGACATCTGTTGGGAATGACTCTCAGCTACTACCAAACCACACTGTAACTAAATATCTGTAAATTTCACGGAGTTACAGCCATTTCAATGTTGGTTGAATTAAGTTAGCTGTGGCGGCCATCTTAAATTAGATCAACTCCAAAAACTAATCAGCTGTAGACGTACATCCAAGGGTTGTTTCCTGAAGGTTTCACTATAATCCACCTAGTGGCTCATGAGATATTTTGCTAACAGACAGGCAGCGTTGACTTCAATATTTCATGTTGACGTTTCCAAAGCAAATCTAGTTTGATCTGTTAGTTCCCAAATTATCTTTTGAGGGCGATCCTCAGCTACTACCACATTAAATTTTAGCACAATACCTGTAAATTTACCTGAGTTGTAGCCCTTTATGTGTACGCTAAGCTGGGTTGGCTGTGGCGGCCATCTTGAATCAAACTGACACCATAAGCTGAACGGTTGTAGACGTTCATCCTATCATCACTTCCTGAGTGTTTCATTAATATCTCTCCAACAGTTCATGAGATATTTTGCTAACAGACACAAATGAACACAAAGATATGAGCACTTTTATTTCACACACAATTCTTCTTTTACCATTTCTTCCTTCAACTTTTATTAAAATGAATTATCTTAAAAAAAAAACTTACAGATAAAACGTAATTTTGAGTATTTATAACTAAACAAATGAGCAACACGTACAAACTCACCAGCTAAGAGTTGTTGAATAAACTCAATATTTGACCGTTGCACAGCTAACAATTAATTATTTAAGAAATGCAAAAAAATTTAAATGTAACTAAACAAGTTCAATACTAAAAAGGCACATTTTAACTCTAATTACCAGATTAATCATTATGAACAATAATCTTAACTGTGTAAAACTTCAAGAACCAGTTCTGATCTTTTACCGTGTAAGTCTGTGGAGTTATGAACGCTCAGTATCTTACCTGCGCTAGATATCTTTTTGAACGATCTCACTTTGGATGAACGGATTGGAAACCGGAGTCTGCTCCGCTCTGACTAGCCATTAGCTCGTCCATCTGACCAAAATTAAACTTTATTTCTCTAAAAAGTGACGTCTTTCAAAGAGAAACCTGCAGCAGGTAAGATATTCATTGTCATCGTAATTAAAAACCACCTGTCCTTAATGGTTTTTTAAAACCTTAACATGTTTTATTAAAAGATTCAATCACGTTAAAATGTATCAGCTTTTGCTTTAACTCGATTTAATAAACACATAAATGCGAGTTAATGAACTTAAACGATTCCAACTGATTGAGTTAAAGCAACTCGTTTAAACTCCAATTAAACTAAAAACAACAAGTTCGTTAGGTGAAGGAATGCACCGCGTAGATTGATAAACGAAGAAAAAACAAACAATATTCACTAAATGAGCTAAAAACCGTGTGCAAAGTGGAAGAAAATAAAATATAAACTCCACGTTTACAAACTCCAGCTGATTGAAACGAACGCCGGCAACCAGACCCGCCTGGCGTCCGTTCATCCGCAGGCTGAAGGTCGCGACCCCTGGAGGCCCGCTCAGATCTGCAGCGGCACCAGAACCAGCGTGTGGAGTCGCAGCGTGTGTGTTGTCATGGTGACGAGCAGTCCTGCTGCGATGTCGCCCCGATTTTCACAAAACCACCGTCAGGTCGGAGGTCGGCTCAGATTTCAGGCCACCTCCTGCTCTCGGACCTCGTCAGGAACCTGCAGCAAGAAACGAAAACCAACGTGTTCAATAAAAGTTTAACTCTTAATTTGTCCTTTTTTTTTTTTTGGGCGGGAAATCGACCTTCCATAACTGTTGAAAGATATTTTTATTAAAAAAAAAAATGTTCACCGTAAACCAGTGACTTGTTCAGCTAAAAAGGTAAAATTTTTTATTTTAACTCCTTGTGGGCCTTAAGTTCTGCAAAACACCACAAGTCTACGTTTTAATTCCAGCCGTGTCTCGTGGCTCTACTACTTTCAACCAGATGTTTACTCGTGCACGAAGCACGTGCGTTTCTGCGTGAACTAAAACAAGTTTCTGGAATGAGACTCGAGAGGAACCTGCAGCCACAGGGGAGGCGGAAAACAGGATGTAGCTGCGTTCCTCAAATGTGAAAACGGAGCACCACCTGGTGGACTGTTAAGAAAACTACAATTTCACAAAGTGTATTATTATTAATATTATTAAGAAAAGTTTTTTTCCTCCATGGAGAATGCTGTTTGTGGAAATCAGTTTAGTTTGGTGACTCCTCATTGAAGAAGTCCTTTGGATGAAAGATGAAACGTCTCAGCACAAAAAAAAGAAAGTGTCCATATGACTTGACTGAACATTGCTGAACTAGCTAAAGTAGCACAAACAAAAGAGCTAAAAGCTAAAAGCAGCAAAATGATAGCTACAAGCGAAAAACAGCTAAACTGGCTGGACGTATCCAAAGCTAAAAGATGAAAGTATTAAAAAACTAAAAATGAACAGTAGCAAAATGCTAGCTAAAATCTAAGAGAGGTAAAATGCAAGCTAAAAGCTGAAAGGAGCAAAATGCTAACTAAAGGTTTAAAGGCTGGCTAAAGGCTTAATGCAACAAAAGACTGACAAAAGCAAATACTATCTAAAGTAGCACAATAGTAGCTAAAAGCTAAGTGAAGCAAAATGCTAGCTAAAAGCTAAGAGAGGCAAAATGCAAGCTAAAAGCTGAAAGAAGCAAAATGCTAATTAAAAGTTTAAAGGCTGGCTAAAGGCTGAAAGTAACAAAAGACTGACTAAAAAGTAAAAATAGCAAAGACTAGCTAAAGTAGCACAAAGGAAGCTAGAAGCTAAAAGACGCAAAATGCAAGCTACAAGCCAAGAAAAGCTAAACTGGATAGAAGTATCAAAAGACCGGCTAAAATATGAAAGTAAAAAACTAAAAAGGAACAGTAACAAAAAAATAGCAAAATGCTAGCTAAAAGTTAAAAGAGGCAAAATGCAAGCTAAAGGCTAAATAAGTAAAATGCTAGTAAAAAGCTGAAAGAAGCAAATTGCTAACTAAAGTTTTAAAGGCTGGGTAAAGGCTTAATGTAACAAAAGACTGACAAATTTTTTTTTAATCAAATACTATATAAAGTAGCACAATAGTAGCTAAAAGCTAAGTGAAGCAAAATGCAAGCTAAAAGCTAAGAGAGGCAAAATGCAAGCTAAAAGCTGAAAGGAGCAAAATGCTAACTAAAGGTTTAAAGGCTGGCTAAAGGCTGAAAGTAACAAAAGACTGACTAAAAAGTAAAAATAGCAAACACTAGCTAAAGTAGCACAAAGGGAGCTAGAAGCTAAAAGAAGCAAAATGCTAGCTACAAGTCAAGAACAGCTAAACTGGCTAGAAGTGTTAAAAAAAATGGCTAAAATATGAAAGTAACAAAAAACTAAAAAGGAACAGTAACAAAAAATAGCAAAATGCTAGCTAAAAGTTGAAAAAGCAAAATGCAAGCTAAAGGCTAAATAAGTAAAATGCTAGTAAAAAGCTGAAAGAAGCAAATTGCTAACTAAACGTTTAAAGGCTGGCTAAAGGATTAACGTAACAAAAGACTGACAGAAAAATTAAAAAGAAAATACTATTTAAAGTAGCATAATAGTAGCTAAAAGCTAAATGAAACAAAATGCTAGCTACAAGCCAAAACCATCTAAAGTAACAAAAAGTATCAAAACGCTGGCTAAAAGATGAAAGTAACAAAAATCTACATAAAATGAAGCAAGCACTAGCTAAAAGTAGCAAAATGCTAGCTAAAACTAAGAAAGGCTAAATGCAAGCTGAAAGCTAACAATGATAGCTATAATCCAAAGCTAGTAAAAGTAGCAAAAAGCTGGCTACAAGCTCAATATCTACATGAAGACAAAAACAGAAGCGTAATTAATAATTATAATAAATATATAATTAAACTTCATGCCGCGTTAACTCACAGTGTGCTCCGATTCATACGCCTGGTTACTGAAGCCGCCGACAGCCGAGGAAGACGAGGAGTCGTTTGTAGCTTCGGCTCTTTGTGGGGTTCTCAGGTAGAGCACGAGCAGGCCGATCAGCAGGCCGATCAGCAGCAGGACCACGATCACAGCTGCCGCGGCTCCTCCCGCGTTGTACCGCTTGTTCGAGGCTACGGAAAGCAGAACACCGCCGTTCTACAACACTTCACTGCACACGGTGGAAGCCCGTGAGGGAATGCATATCGCCCGCCGCCATGGGCGCTCCCTTTGAACGATATTCAGTGGTTCCCATTAGTTTATGGAGGGGGAAATGTGACAAAATTAAATAAATAAATACATCAAGTATGCAGCACGAGAGCCATTAAATAAATACACAGTGAAATAATTAAATGTATTTCTAAATTTATTTATATTTAATATCATTATTTAAAAGGTACATTTATTTTAATGGGACTTTTAGTTAATTAGTTGAGCATTTCTTAATTGTATATTTAATTATTTAATGATGTATTAAATGATTAAATTATATATTTAATTATTTATGTATTTCATGGTACATTTACTTATTTCATGATGTGTTTTATTTTGTTACATTTCACCCTCCATATAAACTGTGACATAAAAAAATATCGAAATACTCACAAAAATGTCTAAAACCGAATCAGTTTTATAGATAACGAACTATAATTAGGCGTGGTAGTCGCCGAGAGTAATCCCAAAGACATTTAACTTTTGCCACCGACTGCTTGTGTCAACTCTGTCTGTTAGCAAAATATCTCATGAACAACTGGACTGAAATCAATGAAACTTTCAGGAGTTGATCAATGGATGTAGATCTACAACTCATGAACTTTTGGAGTCAGTTCAGTCCAAGATGGCCGCCACCGCTAACATCATATAAAACCCAAAAATGGCTATGATTCAGCCACTTTTACAGAAGTTGTAGAGAAATTTGGTGTGGTAGTAGAGGAGAGTTGCTCACAACACATAATCAAGGTGCTCTTCAGTGTGCGAGATCCTTGCACTAAATGCTATAAGTTAACGCTTTATGTCTGTTAGCAAAATATCTCTTGAACGACTGGATGGATTTTAATGAAACCTTCAGGAAATGACCCCTGGATGTAAATCTACAACTGAATAACTTTTGGGGTAAATCTATTTTAATGTGGACGCTACAGCTAACCAACATTAGCCAAAACAAATATAGAAATATCTCCGTTAGTTTTATAGATACTGAACTAAAGTTTGGTGTGGTAGTAGCTGAGAGTCATCAGCAACACATATTCTGAGCGTTATGTCTCATGATGTCACACGTTATTTTAAGATTTAACCAATATGGCTGTCAAGCTCACAGGGCGATATGCACACCTTCAGGGAATGTGGAGTTAATTTATTTTAAATGGCGTTGGCCTTACTTGAACCTGTGTCCGTTTCGCTGCAGTGTCTCCCAATAAAGTACTCGATGTCGTCCAGAGCAACAACGCCCGAAGTTCCTTTGATCCCTTCGAACACGATCTGTCAACGTCGAGACAAACAACAACAGCAGGTTGTTTGTAAACATTTACAGAACCGGCGCAGAATCAGCCGAGCGTTACAGTGGGAGCTCGGACCTGGTACTCCTCGGACGACGTGACGTTCGCGTCGAAGCGCCTCCACCGTCCTCCCAGTTCATCCAGCTTCAGCAGCTGATGGAGAAGGTTCTTATGAACTCTCCAGACCCTCAGCTCGCAGTCCGCTGCACGCGAGGACAGAAACATGAGGCGCGGCACAAAACAACGAGGCGGTAAAGATTAGAACGTCTGCTCTTACAGGAGTGGGATTTGTAGGCCCAGAACCTGACACAGGTGACCTTAGCCGGGGGCAGGTGAGGGCTCAGCAGCCACGCGTTCTGATTGGCTGCTGTCCTGTTGCTGCTCGACAGGAAGAGGAAATGACCTGGAAGAAAGAAAAGTGAATGTTGGACAAGAAGCGAGACGTATTGGTCAAATCACACAATCAATGATCGATGTCTTGCGACAGCTCCATCGATCTGTTAGCGCTGACGCTCAAATGTGCAGGAGGTGGTTTTGTTTTTCTTTGTGTTGTCTGAGGCGGCGCAGAGTGACTGATCCTGGTGAGGGGAGGAGGCCATTTTATCCAACACCAGGCACAATGGCAGAGCCAGGGGGTGGCCAGTGGTGGCCTTGGCCACCATAGATTACCATTAGGGCACCCCAAGGGCCACCCCAATCATTTGAGTCTATATTTTTAAGCAAGACAAAACTAGAAAGCATACTTTCCTCAAATGATAGGGGTATATACTAGGGATGCACAATCCACTTTTTTCACTTCTGATACCGATATCCGAGTATTGGTATCGGTAGATACCGATCCGATACCCATCTGATACAGACAAAGAGTACTGGATTCTGTTCAACAAACTCTGCGTGCTCTTTAGGGTGAACTCTCTGGAGATGCTTGATTAAGTTGGTAGTGTTATAACTGGAAGTTTTAGTGACACCCGGTGGAACCCTCGCTGTGCACGTAATGCACGTAGCTGTCGAATAGTTCCAGATGGCTGATCCTTTCAGTCGCTCCATTTTGAAAACACTGTGCGGTGAGTTCACTAGAGCGTGACGTCACTCAGAGCACAAAGCATAGAGTTAGAGTGAATAGATCTGCCCAGTCATGGATCGGTCACATTGTCACGATACACGATCCAGAAGTTTTTCCGATATCGGAGCCGATACCAATATTGGTATTGGATCGGTGCAATTCTAGTATATACATACATATATATATATATAAATATGGTTCGAGTCCCAGTGCCAGCCTCCGAGCAACCTTGGTTACACAATGAGTGAGAAAGTAAAGGTCATGGCCGGACGTCGCTCGGATTGACAAGGCCAAACGTTGGGGATCCAGGACTTTCCGACGAGAAATGGGCTACTGGAACAAAACATGCACGGACAAGAGCAGGGAACCTAACACTGTTGGGACGCTGCTATGTGAGCAAGCCTAGAGAGAGGCACTATCTGGGAAGGATGTGGGAACTATGGAAACTGCGATACCCATCATCCAGATTGACCCAGAAACAACTTTGGACCCAGTAGGAACCTTTCTTACGCCTAGATGTAGCCATACACCAAAATGGAAGCCGGTACCTTGTTCATTTTTCAAGTTATCGAGCTCACAAGACGAACGGACTGACGGACTGGGGTAGTTCCAATTCCAAAAACATCATCGCCCCTTTTTGCCTTTGGCGGCGGTGTTCACAAGCAAATGCAGTCGTTTGTGTTTGTGTGGTCGACCTTTCTCTGTGCCCAGGGTGTGGTCTTCGGTGGGGGTGGAGTAGTGCTGGTCTGCCTCGTGACTCGTCAGCTCCCAGTCCAGTTTGTCCAACTGGTTGTTCTGAGTGTTGCTCCAGCTGCACATTCCGTTCTCCAGGTTGCACTTGGAGCCTGAAGACAAAAACAGGTTGCGAGCATAAAGTAATGTTCAGCCGTTTGGTCACACCTCTGAAATTACCTTTGGCATAATCTCATGGAACATTATACGCTTTCTGCAAGTTTCGTTAAAATTTGCCAGGTGGCTCATAAGATATTTTGCTAACAGACACGGGCAACAACATTATCACACATCTTTTGCCTTTTAGCCTCAGGCAACCTGAAGAATAGATAAAAACTTTTGCACAGTGCGGAATAAACAGTAAAAATTAAAAACCAGTGAAAAATGTCTTTATAAGATTTATTATTATGAAATCTATCGTGACTAATTCTAACTTTATGATAATTAATATGCTCTACGATTATAGTGACTTTTGAATAGTATTTATTAACATTTGTCTAAACCAAAACAAGGCCAATAGCTATTTAATTTCCCATAATGCAACACGAGGTGTCTTTTTTTTGGAAATAATCTTACAAATTCTGCTTTATGCAGATGATGTGGTTCTGTTGGGATCTTTGGGAGGGTCTGGGCTGGGATAAGAGTCCTCCAAGTCTGAGGCCACGGTTCTGAACCAGAAATGGATGGAAGACCCCCCTCTGGGTCAGGCGGTGAGTCTTTGACGCCGGTGAAGGAGTTCAAGTACCTGGGTGTCTTGTTCAGGAGTGATAGTAGGATGGAGCGGGACACGGACTTACTGACTGGGGCCTCACCCTTAGTATTGAGGGTGCTGTTTTGGTCAGTTGTGGTGAAGAAAGAGTTGAGTCGAAAGGCGAATCTCTAGATTTCCTGGTCTGTCTACTCTCCAACCTTCACCTGTGGTCACGAGGTTTGGATCGGGACCAAACGAATGATATCCTGGACACAAGCAGCCATCATAGGCTTCCTTCACAAGGTGGCTGAGCTCAGCCTAGAGGTTGAGGAGCTACATCATTCGGGGGGAGTTCAGACTAGAGCTGCTGCTCCTCCGCATCAAAAGGAGTCGGCTGAGGTGGTTCATCTGACTCGGACGCCTCCGTTTGGAGGTTGTCCATGCACGTCCAACTTGACTCAGAAGAACTCTCTGGAGGGTTTTGAAGATTTTTTATTTTTATTTTTTAAAAACTGATGAGATAAGCAAGAACAAACCTTGATCTTCACACGGGTGAGCTGAGAAATAGACGTCGTCGACCGCGATGTGAGTGCGTGCACCTCCGGCTCCGACCACCTCAAACTCCAACTGTGGAACAAATTAACCTAAGAGTTACAAACGTTGCCTGAAATAATTTGGTGCTATTCCAGCAGTAGATTTGTGGATTTAAGGTCAGTGCACCGGGCGGGAGGACAACTGACCGGTTAGCATTTTTAGTTGCGTATTTAAACAAAGAACAACAATAAAAGGAGAGACTTGGGGCTTCAGTCGAGCCAGAGGATTTAAATATCGCAGGCAGCCAGGGGTTTAGAAGTGACTGCACTGAGGACCAGAGTACCGGCTCACTTAGGTTACCCACATGTCCATGAGTGTCGGTTCATCATGTCTTCATTTATTTCTGGTTTTGATGTACCTGCCAGCTAGCAAGGCCACTCGTGATGTTGCCGTTGCCAAGGTGCCAGATGTCTCCTTGATTCAGATTCTCAGAGAAGATCTTCACCCTCTCTCCTTTCTCTGGCTTCACGTACACCGTAAGGTAACCTGCAAGGTGCGCACTCTTAAGACATATTTTACCAGGACGTGGCTGTCAGAGCGTGTTCTGTGTGAGAACTTTGCGCACCAGGGTTTCCTCCTCCCATATGGTACCAGAAATACACGCACTCCGTTCTGGTGCTTCCCGGTTGAACGAGGGAGGTGAGGACAGAGGTGGCGCCGGCGGGAAGTATGGCTTTGTCGGTGTCAACCATCATGTAGTAACCTGGACATGAAACAGAAGTAGACAATACAATTCTCTTTGTTTCTCTTGTTTTCTGTTAAAAGACAACAACATTTAAATATTTCTATCCGTCAGGACTTTCTCTGACCCAGCTTGGTCTCCAGAGTGTGGTCGGTTTTGGGTCCAGTCGTCGTGGCGGTGTATCCATTGCGATGGAGCCAGTGAACTTTACCAGAGCTGCTGTAACCACACCGTTGGCCTTCAAAGGAGCACATTCTTGGTATGGTACACGGACGTTCCAGAAACATCACGTCATCAATGGCCACCCGCCCGTCAAAACCAGAGCGGACCACTTCAAACACCAGCTGATGGTGGGTCAAAGTTGGGATTTGGAAAAGAAGACAATGATATTTAAAAGGTTAACTTTGAAAGACCCTTCTGGTGTACTTTTGTGAAGGTCCAAGGGACGTCCATGTTGAAGTCAAAATGTATGAATTCTCAGTAGAATAAAAATCTACTGGAAGCTGGACTTCTGAGACACCAGGTCCACTAAAGTACAACACGGCTGTCCCGTGCAAATTGTGATTTTAGCTGCGCACAGTGGTCCTACCACTAAATATCTCGGTTCAACTCCGTTGTCTACAACACCAGCTCCCAAACCTTTAAACATACACAAAATAAGAGCAGCAGTAATTTGTTGCCCAAAGTTTCTTCATTAAAACATTTTTAAAAGGCCACATTAACATGGACATAATGGTAAACTATCTCAACAACCAATAATAACTATATTTATCTATTTTTCTTGGAACAGTTATGACCCAAAGGTGGTGCTTCGTCTCCTACAGTGGGGCCCGATTCCAACTTTGGGAACTCCTGTTTTATAAGATACAACGCCCCCCTCAAGAAACCAACGCATCAGTGGTCACAGGTTTCTGTCATACATGATGCATGTTCCACTAAACGTCTGTTGACCTCAGCCGTTTTGATTTGAACGAACAATGGCATCTTTTTAATCAACATCCAGAGCAAAACATGAACATTTTCAACACGTGAGAAAGCTGGTGGCGCAGTTCTGAGTAGGTGCAATAAACAGAAGATCTGTGTCGTTAGCCACATGCTAGTTAGCATAGTTTTAAATACGTCTATTCTTAAAGGATTTAGTTGTTTTGTGGAAAAATCTCAGGGAACATTTTCTAAACACACTGAAGCGTGCCATGAAAATTAGTTTTCTATCGAGACAGATAATCTATCACTTTTCCCTCCACCTACATAACGAGAAAACTGAATCACCCTTAGCTTTTGATAAAAATGTGCACAACGGGGATAGAGCCAGGGTGGTAGGAGCCATTAGCGTAAGAAAGGGGTTTCTCCTTCTGATGGTGGCACTGTACCCGTCTTCAAAAAAAGTACATATTTATATATATTTATATTTGTTTGTTTCTTTTGTAGAAGTTATGTATGCTAACATTTTGCTTTCATGGAAACTTTGTGTTTTTTACCTAAAATATCCCCAGAAAAAAGAGAACTGCCAACTCCCATGTTAGGAATGAGCCAGCGGAGGAGTCCAAAAGTCTTGAGGTCTTGTTCACGAACAAAAAGCAGGAAATCGCAACTTGACACGGTGGAGAGAAAGCTGCACAGGAAGGCAAAGCTGCTAATACCAACTGATCTACAGTACGTTCAACTGTCATGGCTATGAACTATGGGTAATGAGATTTGAAATACAAGCGACTGGACTTATCCTTACAGACAGGATGAGGAGTTGGGCTACCTGGAAGGAGCTCAGAGTAGGGATGTTGCTTTGTGGGCATTTGTAAGGAGACATGAGTCAGTGACTGCAGGGTGCTCAGGTCCTGTGCTGCAAAACGAGCCCAAATCATCAGACCTCCACCGCCATGCATAACAGTTTTTAATGCTGTAGGTTTTCACCAAACATGGCCCCCTTCTAAACAAGCAAGCCTGGTTCAGTCTTTAGTAACTTCACTGATATTTAGTACGGCGTTTACCTGAAAGGTTACGAGCTGGTGTGGTACTGGGCACTGAGCTTCGTGCCACGTGTTGCTATGAGCTCCGCTGCGAGTCCATAGAAGGACCTCATAACCATTCGTATCTGTCAGCTTCACATTTAAAGCACCTGGGTCAGGAAGTGACAGAAAAAAATGAAGCGCCATTTGTTAAAGGACGTCAACCAGAGACGAAGCTTAAATGAAAACGTTTGGTTTGACGTATATTCACCCATGTTCGGTCCGTAGAGTTTATAGAAGAAGGACAGGCAGTAATCTGTAGGAGCTGGTCGTTGTGGAAATGATATCAAACGTCCAAAAGCTCCACGTAGAGAAGGGCTCCACATGTCCACAACTAGGCTTCTGCCTGAAGATCAGCAGCAACACAGGCAGGAGTTTCAACAGCAGTGTTTCAGACTCAAGCTATTATAAACGAAGAAAATAAGGCAAAAACAAAACGAGATAAAAAGTCTTTGGGATTAATTTTTTACCAGTTCCTATGGTGTGGTCCACTCCACTGAGCACAGACCAGTCAAAGCTGTCACTGGTGTCTTGGTACCATCCACACAATCCATCTTCAAAATTACACGACAGCCCTGTCTCAAAGAAAGACGTATTCACTTAAAGTTTCAAGATTGAAGGTAAAATGTGGAGAGAGAAGGTACCTGTTGGCACAGATGGATAATAATTAGCATGGCAGCTAACGAAGTGAACGTTCCTCACTTTGATTGTTGCATTGGGCTGAATTTTCACAGCGCGAGCTTCAAATGCCAGCTGGTAGAAGAAAAGACTTCGGGTTAAATCGCATCGCTCGTTTACGTCGTGTGTTTGGTTTTGACAACGTAAAGACGTTCAGGGTGTGAGGAATTTAAACATCTGGAACCTGGAAGCGATGTTTCCTGACTCCAATAAGGACGTCAGCGTGCCGCCACCGTTCCTCCTCGTTTCCCGTTTTTCCACTGAACTCCCACAGTTTTGGTTCTATTCCCAGCAAGCTGTCAATCACTCTGACTGACAGCTCACCTGAAGCAAAGACATGATCGTGGGTATGTTTCTATCTCGGTAAAAACAAAAACAACACTTGCTGGATTAAAGTTTACCGATATGATCTGAACTCCCAGCGAGTGTAAAATCAAAGTTTAGGTTACAGGCTGGACCGGTGGGGCCCAGGAGGGGGGTCCGGGTCTGAGCCTCTGTCAGCTGCTGGCCTGGAGCCTCAGCTACATATAGATACTCCTCTAAGAAATGAGATATGGAAAAATGTTGGGGTATAATAGCAACAAGTTTGAACATTTAACAAAACAAATGTGTTAAAGTGCTTGTACCTTTGACTGTGGCATTTTTATGTAGCACCCAACCTTGACTGCCAATACTGGAGTCTGTCCATCCTGAGCTGCCTTCAGGGTACGAGAAATCCCCTGAAAACAAGATTAATCATTTTTTTTAGGTCTACTGAGATGTCCACATTGGAAGGCAACCAAATGGCGCAGTATATTTGTTCATATTAAGGCACTAAGGCTTCACATTATAGGCAAAAGTGGCCCAAATCTGATATTTTCCCATATGTGACCCATACTGGATATTTCATGACGAACGTGAACATGACTGACCCAGGTCTTTTTCATATGTGGTATTAAATCAGATACATATTCCATGTTTTTCAAAGCATCCTCAGTCTGAATGGTCATGCCACTTTCATCCGACTTTTATGGCATTAAGGTAGGAGTATGTGAATTAAACAAAATATTGATAAGACTGATACCAACGTTATGCAGTTTTAACGTCTAACGTCTTCAGAAACAGAAAAGAACTCCAGTCGCTTTATTTTTAGACTTTCCCTTGTCCTGGGTGTCTGAGAATCTACAACAATATATGATACCAACATTGGTGCCCCATCATATCTATCCCAACATGATAGGATCGATACTTGAGTTAGTTTCACTTTTAGTACTTTGCTCTGGTTCCAGAAGTGCAATTTGGCATCGCAGTAGCCAGGAAGCAACAAGCTCAAGTGTAAACATCAGATAAAACAAGCTTGGAAGACGTTAATTCAGTTGGGTCTGATTGCACAACACATTTACTTCTGTAAGCAGCATACTGCGTGTGATGTCACCATCACGTCTTCTTCTGTGCACATAGGTCACTTCAGGACCATAGAGCCTGATGGCGATCACATTAAATTATGATGTAAACAACCTTTAAAAAAAACAAAAAAATCTTAAAACAAATCAGATCTGAGGAAAAAATTTGGACGTGAGTATTGAGACCTGTCGTAGTCTTAGTAATATGTCCATGTAGTCTGGTGGCCTTACGTCATACTGATAAGTGCTGTACAAAAAAGCACTTTCTGAATAAATAAGAATAAATCTTAGGTTAGACAGAATTTGTTGTTTGGAATATGTCTTTTACCCGGGATGACAAATTAATAAAAATCAATAAACTTGGTATTTCTGTCTCCCCTATTTTGTTTGCCACGACAACTTGGTGTCAGAGGTGGGATTCCACATGTGGTTCTTGCAGCCGAGCTAAATGTCTGTAGACAAAGTAGACAAAAGCCTTCCCTACAAAAGTAGGGTGCTTGAACAGTGAATTGAGACAGAGGTGTCTCTTGAGCACCTCATCAGCTACCAGGAGATAGGATCCAAGGCCTTATTCAATGCGCTCAACAGGGCTCTACTCAGGTTTTTCCAGTGGGTGATCCCACCCACTTGCAGCTCAGTTCTTAGGACCTACTTGGTCCACGTTCCAAGCGAGCCGAGCTGAGCTGAAGACCTGATGCCAGCAGACTGCAGGCCATTGCAGTTGCCAGAGAGCAACATGAATCATGAGAGCGTCTCCTTCACAAGAATCATCCATCCATTATCTTCCGCTTATTTCGAAGTCGGGTCGCGGGGGCAGCAGCTTGAGCAGGGAGGTCCACAAATTTATTTCCACAGCCACCACTTCCAGCTCTTCTGTGAGAATCCCAAGGCGTTCCCAGGCCAACCGAGAGACATAGTCTCTCCAGCGTATCCTGGGTCTTCCCCCGAGTCTCCTCCCAGTCGGACATGCCTGAAGCGCCCAGGGGAGCACCCTTACCAGATGCCTGGACCACCAACTGGCTCTTTTTGATGTGGAGGAGCAGCGGTTCTACTCCAAGTCTCTCCTGAATAACTGAACTTCTCACCCCATTTCTAAGGGAGAGACCAGCTACTCTGTAGAGGAAACTCATTTCAACCGCCTGTATCCGCTCTTGTTCTTTCAGTCACTACTCTGAGTTCGTGGCCATAGGTGAGGGTAGGAACGTAGGCCGACCGGTAAACGGAAAGCTTTGCCTTACAGCTCAGTTCCTTCTTCACCACAATAGACCAGTATAGAGTCCACAATACTGCAGACACTGCACCAATCTGCCTGCCAATCTCACGCTCCATTCTTCCCTCGCGCGTGAACAAAACCTCAAAGAATCAAACCCATAATTTTTAAAATCTCACAACCACAGCATTAATTTTTGCTATTTTCTTATCGTTTTTATTTTTCTATTAAAATGGCAACACACACACCATCACTGTGGTGGTCTGAGGAGGTGCAGACATTGCCATGCTTGTTGGCTGGCAACAAAGTTCAGAGGACGCTAAATGCACTCAATTTAAGGGCTCTGATGGGTGGAGGGAAGGTGGCGTCGCCTCTGCCATGGCATTTTTGGAAACCAAGGCAATGGATGGTGAAAATTCTGTGACCTTATTGTCCCATTGCATCTCATTTCCATTCAACCTTTATTTATACAGGTTAATCCCATTGAGCCTCGGGACTCATTTACAAGAGAGATCTGAATTTCCACAAGTTAAGCAACTGAAGGAAGAAGAATGATGGATTGGTGACATAACCTGGTAAAGACCAGATCATTTTTAATATGACACATGAACAGGGTGTACTTTCTGTGTTTTCCCATGACCATACCAACGTGTTTCATGCAGACCTGAACAAGAAGGATGAATCAACTCACCACATTTGGCCTCGTCCTCTTCCTCCACACAGTCAGCATGAAAGTCACACATTTTATTTGGATCATCCGTGCATGGGTGCTTTGGAGGTTTGGGGAAGGCATCCAGGGAGTGATTTACTAGAAAATAAGAGAACATAGAATATAGATGTATCATGCTGGAGAAATTAATTATCTTTGCAAAGTTGAGGTTAAAATCATACCGGGTGACAAGCGGCACCCAGGCGACAACACGATGCTGTCAACAGCGATACCGCCGTATGCAAAGTCCCTGATTGCTGCCATGATCACGATCTGTAGGAATATCAAAAGCAGACGTGCTTTATTATTTAACTTGCATCGAAACACAAGTTTGAAACATCTGAACCAACATGTGAGAAGAACTCACCTGGAAAGGTAAGTCTGCTTTGATCTCCACCTCCGCCTTCACCCAGAGATCCCCCAAAGCTCCGCCTCTTTTCCACACCGGGTACATCTGACGGTCCGACACCAGCACCGTCAAACCCCCGGACCTCGGCCCAAACTGGTGAGTGTACATCACCATCTACAACAAACAGGAACCACTCGGTTTGTCTCAACTTGAAGTAGAAAGATGGCTGACCAGCAGCCTTAAATCAAACCCTTCTTAATAACGCTGTAATTAACAAAACAAACGTTTTTAACAAGAAAATATAATTTAGTTGCATCAAATTAAATAAAACCCGAGTTATTTCCAGAGAAAAGTGACGTCAAATGTCGATAAGAAATAGATCCGTCCGTTCAATCAGATCTTAGAAGTTCAGGAGAGAAACCCAGACGTTGTCACTCCAGCTTCTCCTGGAGGATCTCAAACAGTTCCAGGCCAGAGAGGAGCTGTGATCTCTTTCACTGAGTTCTGGGTCCGCCCCGGGGCCTCCCTGGAAATCCTCAAAAGGACGGCGACCAGGAGGCGTCCTAATCAGACATTACAAACCACCTCAGCTGGCTCCTTGATGGGGAGGAGCAGGGGCTCTACTCTGCAACCCCACGAAGGAAGTCCATTTCAGCTGCTTGTGTCCAGGATCTTGTCTTTTCTTCATGGTCATAGGTGAGTGCTGAAACTTGGACCAGCTTCTTCACCATGACAGGCCCTCACTACAGAGGATGAACATCACTTGTGCACAAGACTTCCAGATGCTTGAACTCCTACACTTCAGGGCCCAAAAAAGATCTACTGGGGGGGGACTTTCCTCAATCCAACTGCGTCACAACTAACTGCGAAATGGCAAATGTTGTGTCTTGAAGACGAGAACAGAACCAGACGAGAACAGAACCATGTTCTCTGCAAAAAGCAGTTGAAGCCTCGAGGTTTCCAAACTGGACACCCTCCTCTTCATGACCACGCCCTGAGATCCTGCCCTGGCAGAGTCCAACCTGCACCAGGAACGAGCTCAGCTTGGTACAGAGGATGCAAACACAGCTCTTTGGTTATACTGGGACCAGACAGACCTTAAAAAGCAACACTGGACCCTGAGACATTGTTGCAGCAACAACAACAAGATGATGAAGAACAAGATGACGAAGACTGTGTCAATGACGACGACGATGATGAAAAAGAAGACGATGAAAAAGAAGAACATGAAGAAAAAGAAGTACAAGACCAAGAAAAAAGAAGACGACAACGA